TAAACAACATTGTATCATTTAGATAACGAAAGTACAATATATTGAACACTGTGCTGCTGTCATTTCCCCCTAATGATATTGTGAATTATAACTCACAATGAAAATTGTTGAGGAAAGTGGGTATCGAGTAGACATGTAGAACTAGATAAGCTTATGATAAGCCAGCCTTGTCTACTTATTAAGGAAAAGTGGGAGGTTCTTTTTAATGAACAGTAGCTTCTCTGCTTTATCAGCCATAAGTCTGTTCCTCTTCTCATCAAGCACATGAGAGGCAGCGCTGAACAGTCTCTCGCTGTCAGTGCTTGTGATTTGATCTTACTCCGCATATTTGTCCGGGTGTTTTGATTTCAAGTGGCGGAGTAATCCCGAAGTGGTGAAAGTCTTAGCAGTTACACCCCCTCAAGAAATGTCAGCTGAACACGTTTTACAAATCGCAATCCGCGCCTCTTTCTCTGATATTTTTAAATATCTCCAAGCGGCAGACATGTTGGCTGTGAGCCAGCCGCGAGCATGGTCGCGCGCCGTGCTTGTCGCCGCGTTTTGATTACGTCATCACAACAACACGTTAGCTTACCAACGTAACCCTGTTCTCTGACATTCGGTGATATTTTTTCGGTGCTAGAACCCTTTCGGCCGAAAGCCGAAAGGGCCTTTTTAAGCATTTTCGGCCGATAATTTTCGGCGGCCGAATATTCGGTGCATCCCTACTTTAAATGTTGAAACTGCAAAGACTTGAGGGATGGCATTATCTCAATGTATTTTGTAAAGGATGGGCTGTGTATCCTAGGCTAAAGGAGATAACAAGGGAAGCATTGAAGCTCCTTTTCTTATCATCAAGAATATTTGAACAGTTCTTATCATGGCTGCCACTTCGGAACTCCTTTGTCATTTCTATCCGTAAGGAAACTTTCCCTAAGCAAAAAGACTATTCGACCGCAGTCCTGGTCAGAAAACTGGGCAGGGAAAAAAGAGGAATAGCAGGAGGAGAAGAAACACACATGCACTTTAGGGGCTGGCAAGTAACATGAGTCTTCATAATAACACCTGATTGTTGTAAGTGTAATGTAAGTTTATTCAATGATACCCAGGAAGAGGTAATGGTTTGACGCTTTAAGAAGACTCTTGATGTGGTGCTATTTATCTGTCCAAACTAAACTCATTCCAGTCCAAGTTTAAAGAACTCCTCACATCGTAATTTCAACAGTGCTTTTGCTGTTACATACATATTCTGACAAATTCTTTATGAGAAAGTATTTGATATTCCACCTTAACAATCCATTTAGGTATTACTACAGTCCTGACGATGACTACTCTAAGCACCATCTCCAGGAAGTCCCTGCCTAAGGTGTCCTATGTCACTGCCATGGATCTGTTCGTCTCCGTTTGCTTCATCTTCACCTTCGCTGCCCTCATGGAGTACGGCACTCTGCACTACTTCACCAGCAACAGACCGACCAAGAAGTCCAAAGTCAACAACAACACACAGGTACCCAGCACTCATTCCTTTCTTCTTCTTTCTTTTGAACCAAATTAGTCTAATGGCAACATACTGAAATATGTCTTTGTTTCCCTCCACAACAGAAAGCATCCAGCATGCTGAATCTCCGCCCCGGCACGTCCCTGCTGCAGATGAACAACATTGTGCCCTATCACGAGGAGGACGACTATGCTTACGAGTGTTTGGATGGAAAAGACTGCACCAGCTTCTTCTGCTGCTTCGATGACTGCCGCTCAGGTGCCTGGCGTGAAAACAGGATGCATGTGCACGTTTCCAAGATTGATTCTTACTCGCGAATATTCTTTCCCACTGCTTTTGGCCTTTTCAATCTGGTTTACTGGATTGGATATCTGTATCTATAAAACCAGAACATCTCAAAAAGACGACTGGAGTTTAACCTCTGCAAGCATTTAAAAGCATAGCTGCTATTGTAGCATTAGGAATATTAGCTTTGTTGGCAAACAAGAAAACCAAATTGCAAACTAATTATGAATGAACTCTGTACCAACAGCCTGAGAACAATATGGATATTTCTTATCCCTAGTGAATAATGCATTAATGATTATTGCGACTCATTGACCTTTTCGTCTGGCACCAAAATGAAGATTCCTCTTTACATGCATTTTAAAAAGCTAAAGGATTCATTTCCATAATTTTTTTTCTGGATTTTCTCATTGGCAGGGGATTGATTCCATTTGATATGAGCCTTAACCGTGAAATGGAAATGACATACTTGAATATCTTCCCTTATGGAATTGCCTCACCCCCAATCCAAAGGGGACACGACTTTCCTTGTTGGTCGGCATAGCAGATTATGTAGATTAAGTCTGCCATTTGCGCTAGTATTTTGTAATTGAACTATTAGGTAAGAGCCCTGATTATATAATTCCTCTAACATTGGGATCTTAACATTAAGGTAAACCTAAAAACTCAATAAAGCCAAATGAAATGTTTCCTTTGTCAGCTAAGTTATTCATGTTAATAGCTAAATCCCCTCCTTCTAGGTCTAAGGCTTACCACACTCTTAGTGCGTGTGTCTGCATAGCATTAACTTCTGGCTCATTGTATGATAGACACGCATCGCCCCTTTGCTTTTTATTATCTATTTTTGCAATGCTTTGGAGAACTGGATACGTCATTAGGGACATTTGATCAGTGTAGCATTGAGCCAAAATGGCCTGCCAATCGAGAACAAAAACACCTGGATCATCCTGGGTCTTGGAACCATAGAGCATGCACACTTGCAATTTTGATCTTGTCCTTATAGTATGGATGATTGGACTAACGCTCTCTCTCTATCGAGAACAATTGATAAACTACCTTTTATCTCTTGTCATTCTTATTTCATCAGCAAAGGGCAACATAGCAAAGACATGAAGGAAAATGTAGGCCTGAATCGGAAACTCCAAACTTGCAAATGTTGGAATTAAAACCTCCTCAGATTTAAATAGGACACTCATTTGAAAGGCTTTTTTAAGAATCAGCAGTTTTGATACTTGATTCAAATTAGTTTACATTCTGTGAAACCCTAACCCTACCCACAGCAGCTTTGAATGCAGAAATGTTTGCACGAGTTAGACTCCAGTCTAAACAGAGGAGATATTGCCATCAAACCTAAAAAAAATTACACAAATGTGTGTTTACTCTTTGCTGCTGTGCTATTGATATTGTTGAGAAGCAGGATAAAGAGGCCAATAAGCTCTTATGATTCGTTATTGATTTGCAGGAATGTGGGGTACTATTGGTCACTTCAACACAAGAAGGGAACATACCTTTAATGTTCATAGGGTTCTATTTTTGTAGGCGACACCTGACAGCGTTCTGATTGGTGGGGTCCTACATGGAACGCATTTATAAAGTTATTCAAACAGTGAATTCATGAACAATGATGTATGTTTTTCAAAGAGCCAGAATTTATACTCTGATATATCATATGTTATAAGACTGACCGTTTTTCAAACAGGTCAGGAAAATGGTCATATACTCTTTAATTCAGTAGTCACGTCCTATTTCGAGATTGATACAGCAAATTGATTTGGTTTCTGAAAAGGTTTGAGAAAAGAATGTCCTTTACTAATTATACATGACTTGAATTTCCTTGTATACAGTTCTGTTGCATGTAAAAGAATCACTGTGTGAACAGATATAGTTGCCACCCTGCAAACCACCTGAAACACAAAAGGAAAATAAACTGACATATCTCCAGCAACATCCAGTATCATAACAGAGGATTTTAATATTATAGACTTCAAACTAATTTTTTTCCCTCCATTTTTTTCTTTTTGGGTTCTGTCTGTACAAAAACAACTTATTTTATCCAATCCCAGTTTACTATTGATGGACATCATCAGGTTGAATCATTTTTCAGATTGTAGTCAGTTTGGATCAATTCAAAGATTAAGATTTACCTTTAAATCACACCACAAAGAGATTGCATGAACATTCATAACAGCGCTGTCTCTGACACATTTTTTTATTCAGATGCAAGTTAAGACTGTTGCTGGATCCTACTGTTCCTTCACTTCAGCACAAATCAAACCAACCAAAGTAACCACCTTTCTGTTCCAACTCTCATGATTGTTCCTGCGGCTAACTTTCATTAAGCTAACCAGGAAGTAAGACTTATGACAAAGCAGAGCGTATAATGGCATTATCACTTGATAGCGATGGGAAAACAGCCTATCCGTACAGTGATACATGCGCACTATAAAACCGTCCTGCCAGACACGAGTAAGATCAGATCGGCGACGAACGCTGTCTCTGGTTGTGAAAGAGAAGATTAAAGATAGAATATAGTATAGATAACAAAACTACGAGAACTATGAACAAGACCCTCTGCTGATCACATCGTCCATAATTAGATATTAATTATATATGTGAGTCAGTANTTAACTCGAAACACCTGCAAGGGTTTCCTGAGCCTTGAAAAACACTCAGCTTGGTTCAGTAAACTAAATCACAAGTATGGGGAAGACTGCTGATCTGACAGTCAGATCAGCAGTCTTCCCCATACTTGTGATTTAGTTTACTGAACCAAGCTGAGTGTTTTTCAAGGCTCAGGAAACCCTTGCAGGTGTTTCGAGTTAATTAGACGATTCAAGTGATTCGTTGAACACCCTACTAGTATTCTTTATATTTAGAGATAGGATATTTGAGTTTTCTTAAGCTGTATGCCATAATCAGCAATATTAAAATAATAAAAGGCTTGCAATATTTCAGTTGATTTGTAATGAATCCAGAATGTATGACATTTTAGTTTTTTTAATTGCATTACAGAAAATAAAGAACTTTATCACAATATTCTAATTTTCTGAGACAGTCCTGTATCAGGAAAACGCACATTAAGCTGTTTCCTTTTGCTACATTGAGTCTTATATGGCTGTAAAGTGCTGTCTATGGTCCTGAAATGTTCTGCAGCACTGAACAAAGTATTGCATTAGAAACAGCTTTAAATGTGCCACAGAACTATTATATTATTTGCAATAAATAAATGCTGCTTTGGCGGGGAGGTTCGTTTTCTGATGCAACAACTGCTTATTGTTCTGCAGTGAACAACAATATTTGAGCCGCTCAGCCTGTTGTTCTCTTCCATCCAACTTAATCAACACTGATGAATGATATTCAATAAGATATTCCTCTGATATAGTTTGAGCCATTGTTTTGCTTCAGCTTTGCCAATTAGATTCGGCCTTGCTCCCCTGCGGTTCGTACACGCTCGACAGACATAGAAACATGATGCAGTGTGACAGGCAGCAGAGCAGGATGGTTACATCAGGAGCGTTTTGTACACAACATTTGTCATCATGGAAAAAACCTTCACTAATGTTGAACCTGTTTTTTTATTGACTTTTAAGATAAACCATGCACTCAAAGGTCCCATGTCATGGCCATTTCTACTGATCATATTTCCATTGTTGAGGTATACTAGAATAGATTTAAATTGTGCAATTTTCCAAACTCACATTGTTTTCTCATACAGCATCTCTGTATAGTATGTGTATTTACCAGGTATTCACTCTCTGTCCTAAACGGCTTGTTGGAGCTCCTACCCCCCCCCTCCCTGTGAGCCCAGTGTGCTCTGATTGGTTGCGAGGCTCGTTGCGAGGCTCGTTGCGAGGCTCGTTGCTGTGAGCCGCTGCTGTGAGCTGCTGCGAGGGGCGGACAGGTTTCCAGGTCGGCGAGAACAAGCGAAACTCATCCTGAGCACACACAAACACTCACAGCCGAAGTAAAAACAATAAGTGTGGCTTGATATTGAGTTAGAAAAAGGTTTAGAACGCTGTGAGCATGGGTCTGCGGAGAGCATTTCTCCGCCATCCCAACTCGTCTATTACCAGCATTCAGGGAGCTCTATGCAAGTCAATGGGGACTCCCTGTTAGTTAACCAAGGGATCCTGGTGTGTGAGGTGCTCCGCCGATTGGTCCATTTGGGCCAATCCGGTTATTTGTTGTTGATTTGAGTGTTCACACGTCACAGAACCCAGGAAGCAAACAATGGAATGAGAAATCTCCAACGAGGCGTTCTGGGTTAGCATAGACAGGTATTTTCTGTGTTAGAGCTTTACTCGCTACAGGGTGTACTTTGAGGGTTTTTGACTCTGCAGACCGTTTACATGCATAAAAACCTTCATAACACACAAGGGGACGGGTAATAACCAGAAAAGCATGACATGGGCCCTTTAAGTTTCTTATCATCGATAAGCATCTGATGACAGTCCATTTAAGCACTGTGTAGCGTGCGTATTGTAACCGAGCTACAGTTTGTGTGTACTTTGGATCTAATAGCCCGGGGTCATGAAGATTTCTGCACAGATGACTGGAGAGATAATTGACTTTGGAGCGAGCCCGTGCTGTGGTTTTGTCAGACATGAGGAGGGAACCGAATGTGGTAAAGAGCTGCTGGAAGAGGAGTTTGTGACACGTTACAGCACACAATGGAACAAACACAAAAATATGCAAAGCCCTGCTTAATTCAACCATTTATGTTTGGCACAGCTTGCATGAATTGTCAACTCGTGAAATTATTTTTACAATGCATGAAAATGTGTTGGAAGGAATTAATTCCTTGAGAACCAAGTCAATTTTACCACAATACAAACAGAATTTAAAACACAGAAAATGGGGTTGAACATATTTGTTTGGGGGGTTAGTAGGCCTAAGTCTTTTGTTTGTTTTTCAGCATAATTTTCACGGACCCATTATTTCCAATGACAATATAATTAGAATAACTTTGCACTTAAAATGTCAATTTTTCCACAAAAGTATCTATAACCCATGAAACAGCTTTATGCTTAGTTCAAAAACTGTTTAATGTATAATGGCAGTGGCTCAGTAAGTAGGGGCTTGGACTGGGAGCTGCAGGGTCACTGGTTCAAGTCCCCGACCAGACCAAAAATATGGAGTGTGGACTGCTACTTGGAGAGGTCCCAGTTCACCTCCTGCCATGCCGTGGCGCCCTTGAGCAAGGCACTGGATAATCCCCCTTGCCCCCTCACTCCCATTGCTCCCCGGGCGCTGTACAATAGCTGCCCACTGCTCCTACACTAGACTCCTGGTACTAGGATGTGTTAAAGAGGGGTTTCATCCCTCCCAATTTTAAAATGGTGACCAATTTGTATGTATTATAAAATCAGCTTGTTTTGATAATCATTATTTATCAGACAGTGTAATGGTGGATATTAAGAATATTTGATATTTCTTCTGACATTCCCACTGTTCTGCACAGTCACAATGTTGAAGTCATAAACCTTTCATTAATCCCCAGGTCTCTCTTGAAACTGGCTGCTCTGCAGTCTGCCCTGGAGGTATTACTTATAACTACCCTCGGCTTTTAGGCTATGACAGAAATTATGACCTTAATAAAGTCGACTTTGCAACATTTGCATGCCTAAGCATCTTGCAAGTGATACAAGAAGTCTGTCTGGCTCTGTTTAAAGGCTCCCCTGGGACGTCGCTTGGCAGGCAATGGACGTCCTCGTGGCTGAACGGCTGTCAAAGTAACTAAAAGATACTTAAAGAACAAAGTCCAACTCGCCACTTGTCATTTGACTTATTTATGTTGCTATAAGAGGTTTTAAATAAAGGCACAAAGCTTTATTAACATTTAGGAGGGAATGTACCACATAGGTAGAGTGATCTAGGTGCACGATTACTCCGAAAATGTGAGAAATTCACTGAATCCTCAGTCATCAAATTGCAAAAAAGGCAAACGTTAAGATGGAGTGGTGATGTTTTAAAAAAAAGTTCTGGCTCTATATTTCTTGTTGATTCTGCAAAAATCAGCCTGCACCGCTACTTCATTCTCAGGATACATCTCTCAGCAGGATGAGTGTAGCTGTGTGTGGCTGGGGTGTATCCAGTAGTCCTTCTCAGCGTAACACTGCAGATAAATGTCACAGACCCAACAAAATAATGCTGGAATGAATTATCCACTTATTGTTGTTTATGGCCCCCTGTTGGATAACAAAGATATGGGTTCTTTTGATTGGATTGATTATATATTTATAAAATATATATATTTAAATATTTACTGATATGTCAACATGATCAACATTTCAACAGGATGGTGTTTTTTTATTTTTCCATTATGATCCCTTGATATTACTTTTTTCCATCTCAGATTTGTTCATAGAAAACCCTACAGTTATCTAACTTTTAAAACATTTCCAGGAATACTGTGTTTAATGTTCAAAATCATTTGTAAACTGATTGAACAACAAAATAACATGGTTTGTGAACAAATCTAAATGCCCCTTTCTGTACTTTGCATTACACTGAATTGTTTGTTTTTTTACTTTATAATTTCTATCATGCTTTTGTTTATCCATGGCCAAGCTCAATGGGACTTGCCTGGTTACATAAAGGTAGTATATAAAAATATATAAGTGAAATAAAAATGGGTCCTGCTCTGTTGTTTTAAAGGGTTTTTGTTTTTAAATCAGAAGTCAGAAATGTTAACCTGCATATGCATATAAAGTGATTAAATTGAAGTTACTAATTGGTCATATAGGAGTTTATCTGTATTTTATGCTGGCTTAAAATCACGACATTCAAAACCATCCACTTGCATCGGCTTTACCTTTTGTTTTTATTTGTGTTATTTATAACTTTTCTCTCCAGGCTGAGGGCCTAGTACATAAAAACAACAATCATTATTAAATCACATTAAACGAGGGAATAAATGTGAATTTGCACGCAATATAAGCAACACTTAACACAAGTCCACCGCAGGTTTTTCATCTCTCAGTGAGAACTTGAGGGGTGGGGCCTGTAATGCCCGTTGGCAGCTAGGGTTTGGATGCAAATATCACGGCTTTGAAACTAACTACTTGTCTGAGTTGGATGCAGTTCGACGCTCCTAAATGGATTTTAAAAGCGCAACCCGCAGGAGCTTCATTGCAAATACGCAGCCTGACTTAAGAAGACGAAACAAAAACTCTCAGTGACTAAATTCATTGGAATATATTTATATATCTATGCATTTTTCATGCGTATAATCTTTTGCTGGACGAATTTTAAATTAATTTCACATTGCAATGAAGTAACCTCAAATTGTGACAGATGTGAAAGAGATGAAATCATATGTCTTCCTAAAGGATGCCAGAGAAAAGTTGCATGGGGGTATCCTGTAGGAGGAGTTCTTTGTGACCAAACAAGTAACGGATTTTCCCTTATAAAAAAGGAAATTGAGTCCGGACTTCTCAATGAACAGCATTACCCGGAGCCCAGGCTGTACAGGTGGGTGGATTCTTAATCCATATTTTACTTTTTTGATAAACCGGGGCTTTGAGTAACATTTTTTTTTATTAATACAAAATGTAATTTGGGGTTCATTTTCTTTGTAATTAATCTATAATTTAGTTGGTTACGTTATTACCAGAACCAATAAAACACGATCTCATTTTAACAGGTTCATTTACCATTATTATCATTATTTTTTTACAACTTTCACAATGATATGTATGCCAGTGACGACCATTATTGTATATTTGTCATTGACATTTTCCATGTTTGTGATTTACACCTGAGAGTATTATCATGAGTTTCTGCAGATTTTTCCTTTTTACAAAAAAAAAAAAGACTTATCTTTACCTATCTTAAAGTAACCTTGTCATACATTGGAGCTACTTTAATGTCATCCTCCAAAGCTCTGAAGTGACAAGAGAGAGATAGAAACAGGACAGTAAGTTGAGACAGAGATGCTGGACTTGGGACAGGTGGGAATCTGCACTTGATGTTCCCTTTTCTCTGAGAAGCAGAGCAATGCTACAGCTGTATGCAGCATGGTGTGTGAGCCTCCAGGCAAAGCTGAACTGTGCTTAACTGAGCTGTATAGAATCAAGCCTCTGACTGCTGGAGCTGTGCAGGGCTTTAGTCCTACATGAAAAAAAAAAGAGTTTGGTGTGGTTGGGGGAAACAGGCTCTCCTCTGCTCTGAGTGTTTTTCAACTGCTACTCATTTGACCTCCCACGGCCTGAACTGTTTAAGCTGCAGAGCTGAGGAAGTGATTACCAAAATGGTTGAGGCTTCTGTGGAGGCAGCAAGGTGTTTCTCCACACTCTGTAGAGGTGGAGAGGCTAATCACCTACAGATGGAGAAAAGGTGTTGAGAGCATGGGAACCTGCATAAGGATAAAGCCCCAATCAACACCTCATTCCCAGTCTCATCATCTCTTGATGTTCTTCCTGTTCATTGTGGGTTGATTTGGCTAGCACTGCCAGAGTTTATAGCTTGGATGTACAAATCATGGCTTTTATTAATATTGAGAATGTTTTATAACATGAATGTTGAAATCACCCACAGGTCCTGAAGCTCTGTTTGCTGCAAACACGGGCAGCCACATTTGTGAAAAATGTCCTTATTTAAAAAACTGAATTGACCACTTACTCTACTTAGGGAGTGGCAGATGCCATTTAAAAATAATTCCATTTTAAAACAAGAGTGTTTTGAGGTTAGTGTGGGTACAGGAAAATGTTGGCTCCACCGGTCGGTCATTCCTGAGAGAAACAACACATTATGACGGACAATAAAATCTCTGAAGTTCGTGCAGTTCTTTGTTTTTGTGTCTATTGTTGCACATTGCAAAGGCCATTATAAATGTCCTTCTAACCTTCATTGCTTTTTTAAGATCAAAGCTTTTTTGCCTATATTATATGTGTTAATGATCCTTATTTAGCTCTTAAATATGTGTCCGATAACCAGTAGCTAGTCACAAGTAGAAAGTTCATCGACAGGTTGCATTTGTAACTCTGAGCTCAGAGTTGTGGCACCTTCTCGAGTTCAATAAATTCCCAGTGTGGGAGCTCCCTTTCAGTGTTTGAATAATTGATAGATCAAACTTTGGACTTACAAAGGAGGCAATTTAATCTCCTGACTATTTGATGAGAGGGGCTTAGTTTCATTGGGCTCAGCTGAATGTGGCTGATGGTGAGGCAAGCACACAGTTTAATGGATGAGGGAGCAGAGACAGGGAACTTTCAAAACACACAGGTGCCACGAAAACACCGCAGTTGCCCGATGAGATGACACGTTGAAGACTGGTTAGAAACAGGCCTTGCAATGAAGATGGGCTAAGAGTACAACAATCTGCTTTCTCAGTTGTATTTAACAGCCTGGTCCTGTCTCTTATCTCCATGGTTTGTGCGAGCAGATATGGATGGGCTGAGGTGTGCTTCTGGCGGGTTGCACAGAGCCGTGGGAGTGCTGCGTTATGAAAGAGTCTCTGGCACATGCCTTGAGTTACTCAGTGCTGGAAAGGTTATGTTCTGAGTGATCCAGAGACTTAGCATGTCCCATTCTCCACTCCCTCAAGGAACAGGTGCTGAAGAAACTGGCTGCGCCACTCTTTTGGCTCATTCCCGTAAATATGACTTCAGCCGAGAGGTGTCAGTGACATTTGTGAGTCATTAAGTGTTAAAAAGTAAATAAACCTAATGGCGGGGAAGAGGGACTGAAGTGTTTCCCAAATAGGAAAGGATACACTTACCCATGTCCTTTGTTAGCTGGAAAGCAATGCTATGAAACTGCAATGATTGGAAAAATAAACCTTTTTCTCGATATATGGCTCTAGGTTCAAGAAATTCTGTATCATTATTAGGCTTCAACAGATGCTCCCATTTACAAGCGGCTCTACTAAACTTTATTTAGCTCATAAAAGAAGTTATGTCGTAACAATAATGAGGTATTTTTTTACTTAGGGGTTCTATTTTCCTCCATTTGAAAGTTCAGCTTCCCAAAAAACAGGATGTCTCCTCATTACCACACACACTGGTGCTGCTCATTATTCCATTAATTTATGAACAACACAAAATAGAGACATTTTTTAAATTTAAGATTGGGGTCTACCATACATCCTATTCTGAATGCTCACATTTTTTGGTCAGTCCATTCAAAAAGAAAATAGTGAAATATGAAATGAATTTGTGCTTTTTGATTTACACTTTAACAAATAATGTAATGTTGCCTGCTGGAATGTTTAGACGCACCAAATGGCATTGTCCTTAGTGTGATTCAGAGCCACAACCAACTCAACAGCCAAATATGGTCCTATTTTTCTTTATTGAGCTGCGAGGGAGGACCTCCCATTGCTTGGATCCTAACATGTTCTGTGTGTCCTCTTCACACAAGAGCTGTAAATACAGGCAGCGTATGACACTATCTAAAAAAGATCTCATTACCAAATATGACAAAGGCCGTTAGTCTTAGTGTGGGTTGCATTTCCCAGAGAGAGTTGAATGTATTTTCAAAGAATAAACATGCTCAATTTATCATCCAATTCCAAATAAAGCTTGAAATGCCAGGAACCCAAAGTGAAAGCAGTGAGGACAAAACAAATATCTTCTCATAGCATTGGGTTAGAAAACAATGTCCCTGGTTTGAGAATGGAAATGTGTTGAAAGCATATTGGAAACACATATTGAAGGAATAGCTCCACGTTTGGAAATAGGATTATTGGTTTTCTTGCTGACAGTTAGTGAAAATATTCATACCGCTATGAAGCTAGAGCCAGCAGCTGCTTAGCACAAAGACTGGAAAAAAAGGGGAAAACAGCTAGTCGCTGTCAAAAGGTAGACATATACAAGGTAGAAATATACAAAAGATAAATCTGAACAAAAAGGCAAAGCGCAAAAACTATTTTAGTTTCTTGGTTTGTTTCTTGGTCAGGTTTATCAACGTTTGGAGTCTTGCCCCAACTCTATGTGGATGTCGGACAAGAAAAAAAGACTTTGTAGCAAGTTCTCATAGTGGCCAAACTGTGCAATTACAACTTCATGGTTCCTCTCAAAATGCCGCTGGGACCAAAACAACATTTGTCATTGTCTTACATTTCGAAAAAAACTTTGATATGATAAATCTACTACACAGTATGAACGCTTAAATAGCCTTGATTAAAATCATTGTATCCCTTTATTCACGGGAAAACCTAGGGAGGGTTTAAGGAAACACTAGAGCGCTTATCTAGAAGCCAAAATGTGGGATATCCGGGTTATTTGATCACTTTGCTGTCTAACAGCGCCACTGAGTTACTTTTATAGGAATGGACAGGGCCCCAACTCCAACGCTGTATCAGGATCTCTTCATAGATCCAGGGTTTAGCTATAGGCATAGTTTGACATGAAACCCCAAGTAAAACTGCATCTTGTTGCTTTGACAGTTTTTTCATTTTGGAATGAGCCAAGCTAGCTGTGTTTCCTTGCTTCCAGTCCTTATGCTAAGATCAGCTAATGGGTAGCTATATCTCTCAGAGGTATCTTATCTAACTCTCATCAAGAAACAACATTTGCTTTTTACCCAAAAGGGGAAAAAACTATTAATTTAAAACACTGACCTGTAACAACCCTTCTCCTAATCTCTCCTCCCTCCTTATCTCAGCAGGTCGTGGTACAAACAGTTGTGTTTTCACCCAAAGTCAAGAACCTGCATCCATCTTTTTTCAATCTGCGAGCTCATATTCTCTTTCCTCCTTTGAACATCTTTAATAAGACACATGCTTGTGAGCTCAGGCATTTATTGACAGAAAGCCTCCTCACACAGCGGGTTCCCTGCTTCCTTGCCAGCCCTCCCAGAGCTTCATGGGTTGAACCACCAGAGGTTCGTCAATCTCTCTCTCCTCCTCTTCATCCTCCGCACAACCCCTCATCCCCCTCTCAGTCGTACAACCCCGCGCTGTCTACTCCCTTTGCCTGTTTTACCACCAACGTGATGGCTTGTTGGGCCCCGGGCTTGTTTGGACTTGCGACCGCAACATCATCATCATCCTCCTCGACTACACAGACTTGCAGACACAGCAGCTACTAGAGTGAAAGATAAAGAGAGGCAGAGGGGAGGAAAAGGAGAGACAGACAGAAAGAGAGGACTACCAGAGGAGAGAGGGGGGGGAGGATAATCTCTCCCAGCAGCAGAGGGATCCACCTGTCCCACAGAGGAAGGGGGCCCCCCCACCTGATCCATCTGGTCGCAGGGGGGGACCCTGCGTAGCCGCTAAGGCAGCAGAGACTATGCAGCTGGGACTGGTGGCGCTGGCAATGATCTTCCTCAGCTCCATGGGTCACAGCGGAGCTCTCAAGCTCTCCAAGGCGAGACGGCAGAGACGGGGTGAGTTTGCTCTTTCTCAGTTTGCTTTCATCTCCTTTTTTCTTCCTCTGCTGCCTTTCGTTACTGCGCTCTGAGTCACTGTGGTGCGTTCCTTGTAAACATTTAACAAGCAAAGTAAAGATAATGTTATGTTTATTTTCTCATCAGTCCTATTTGTTTTTCCTAGACGGGTTAGGTACGGTTCAGTGTTTCCCCTGCGTGGCTCGTCTTTCTTCCTCTTTTCAAGATTATGCCTCTCGGTTTGTGTGAAACTTTTATTGGTATTAGGACTGTTTATAGAGAGGGTTATGATGGATTCACTCTCAAAGCTATCACTTTCTTTGTGTCTGGCTCTGTGGGCACATAATGGAATGAGTACCTGACAGGTCTAAGCCCTCAATTGAACCGAGCTGCCGGTGTTGTTGGAAGCATTTTTCTGACCTCATGCAACCACAAAGATGTTGCTTAGCCCGACTTGCAATATATCTCTTGCCTTTAGTCTTAGTGCTGATGCTAGTGTAGGCTTTGAAATAATTCTTCCTTTACACACAAGGAGCCCTCAGCCAATGTCAAGCTCACCCTAACTTCTGTGAACCAGCTTTTATATATAATACCATGACTGGCTGCAGTTACAGATGTGGTTTTAATTAGATCACACATACTGGGAAGGAATAATAGTTATTTTTGTCACATAAATTGAATATATGTTACAGTATAACACTCACGTGGCCTACATGGTATACAGCCTGAAATGCAGTTTGTCATGTGCCATTGTAATGAGGACAGAAGGATTTGGGTCACTCGCCATGTACATGAGCACCCTGTTCAGCGTCTCACCCAGCAGAGGCTTTTCCCCTCCAGATATGGAAGTTGTCTGCAATTTAAACATTTGGTGTATAGCTTTGACATCTTTAATGTCATCAGATTCTTTTCCCCAAATGGTTACAGGTTCATGTATAGATCAAACTGAAACCATCATAGAGGAGGGTGGCTTCAGACAGCACAAACTCTCTCTTATATAATCTACCATGTACAACAAACACCACAATCTCTAATTCATACTCTCCCTGTGGTTAAACGATTACTCCCCAGGGCCATTATTCTTTTTTTTAAATGTGTGATAGTGAGCAACAAGACCTGGCTTTAATTGGCTGTTTTTGAGGTTACCGTGACTTAAACGTGGTGTAATCTGTTCATGGGAGAACCTTTTTACCATCCGACTTATCTCTGGGAGGCAGGAAGGCAGATGGATTGCTATGTGAGGGTATGTATATTTAGAGCTGATACAGTATGAGACTGTAAATCAACTCCGAAGACAGTGGTTTTGTCTCTGAATGGCTCCTACAAAAAGGATTTGCACTTTGACACACTTTTCCAAGAAGTTATTTCATTAATTGCGGCTTTTTTGAAAATGAAAGAATTTAAAAATGGTTGACCTTTGGATTATAATGTTGTAAAGAAAATGCTTCGGAAGTGCATTTTCAGACAGGGAGGCAGGCAGGCAGGCAGGGGGCATACTGTTTGGTATCGCTGTAGAAAAACACTCATCATTTCTGACTGACTCTCGTAGAGGCATTGTGTGATGTTCGTTGCCTGATTTGACTGGCTCTTGGTAAGCTGTCAGCCCCCAACCCTGATTTCTCCAAATTAAAATCTGTTTAGGATCCGAGATCATTCAGTTTGAGGTAAACAGTGAGTAACTGTCCAAACAAAGATGTTGGCCTGTCCCCAGATTAGATCAAGCTGCGAGCATTAACCCAAGCTTGTCGGAGACATAAAACACAACATGGCTGGATCTGGGGACAGGCCAGAACCATTACAATGTTATTCTCATTGGCATAATGTGGGAAAATTGCCTTTATAATTTAACTTTGAAAAATGAACATCTTCCTGGAAACTGTTAATTCTTTTTATGACGTAGTACTCCATGCTTTAGTTTTGCCTACTTCAACTGACTGTTACTTACTCTTTGTTTATTTTTGCTTGTTTTCCCACAGTTAGCACTGAGGGGCCACCATCTTGCCCCAAAGGCTGTGAACGATGCTCTGAGTATAACGGCTGCATCAAATGTAAGCCCAAGCTCTTCATCTTCCTGGAGCGCAATGACATCCGACAGATAGGCGTGTGCCTCGCCTCCTGCCCCATGGGATACTTCGGCATGAGGAACCCAGAAGGCAACAACAGATGCACTCGTAAGTTTGCTTTGTGTTATACACTCCTGACCAACAACAGACAAAACCATCAGCCTCAATCCACATAACTGTAGCCACACATCTGGAAATGTCTAAATACAGCCCAGCTGTGGTAAAATCACCCCTGCAAAAATGTCCAGAAATCTGTTTATCTTTGGCTCATCATCTCCTGTTTGTGTTCAATATGGGGGTATTGGGGGACTACAGGAATACCCTGCTAATTTATTGGTATCTAGCTTTGTTTTTCACTTTACTAAAATATTTTGAGTTTGAGTTGAAGGCATACAATTTGAAAGAAGCAATCCTACCATTTAAAGGTTATTTCATGCTGTCTCCCTTTGTTGTGCAACTTTGAATAAAGCCCTCAAATAGCCACTAAATCCAGAAAGTCGGTAGAATTTTTAATTGATCTGGTGTTCATTATGGTTTGCCACATTTGGAAAGTGGGTGAGAGGGTAGTCACAGTCACGGCACTTACCAAACTTACTTAGATGGTTCTTGTGGCACAGATCCCGTACTTTTAGCAGTGCCAGCTCCTCATTCTGTTGTGTTTATTACCCTTGCGTGTAGACGGAAAACAGAATAAGATCAAAATTCCGAACAAAAACATCTCGAACGCATTGTTTGTCTATTTTTGAGAGTATGTTTTTAGTTTGGCCTTGTGTGCAAAGTTCATTCCAGGACTCAATCCATGTTTGTTATTCATTCATTTTTCCCCATATTTTGTTTTGAGACACCCTTACTTACTGTATCATAAAGGCTATATATATATTCTCTGAAATAACTAAGGGTGCATTTTAGGCTAAAACTTAATTTCTTGCCCTTGCACAATTCGATAAACTCAAATGATCAAAGTTTATTGATTTTCATGGCTTTAAAGGTGGGGTAGGTAAGTTTGAGAAACCGGCTCGAGATACACTTTTTGTTATATTCCATGGAATGCTCTTAACATCCCGATAGCAATGAATATCTGAAGTGCTTTGACAAAAAATCCATAAAGAAATGTCATCTGTAAAAAGCACGACCAGTCATTTTAGCCGGCCCGGCTAAAATAACTGGATGGCCTACCTGCCTGTCAGCCTTCCATCTGTGCACAAACTTATCTCGTGCCCTCATTGGTCATGTGCTTGTTCGTGTGTGTTGGAGGAGGGGCTCTGTAAGGATGTGGCAGATTTTTTCCGGCTGTGTATTTTTAAATTCTAGCGCACTCAAGCTGGTTTCTCAAAAATTAAGTGTTTGGCGGGCAACTACAATCAGCAGGCTATTCCTCTTTTCTTGTGTACCCATTCCAGCATCACATCGATCATATTTTAAGACAGGTTTATACAACTTCAACAAACACAAGTCTTAAGTCTGCCTCTGGGGTGAATTTATTTTCATATTTTCATCTTTTAAAATGAAAGATTATAGAAACAGAAGGTGTCATTTTGTACACCAGTTTTCCCATTATAATTATGGAACTGTGTATTACAGACCGTGCGCTTAGGCAAGGCACGTTTATTTATATAGCACCTTTCAACACAAGGCAATTCAAAGTGCTTAGAGGAAGACAACCTAATATGTATATTATGCAACAGCATGCTAAATTAATACAGCAATGTGTCTTATTTTCTTTGTGAGGTTAGTTTCATTAATGCAATTAACAATATTTAAAAAATGCCTTTAACCAAACATTTGATCATTTGCAATACAATTCAACTGTGTGTTTCAGCATTATTTCCCTGAAAAGAAAATATTATGTTGAAGCCCTCAGTGGCAACCTGGGGTTTTATCCAATTATCTGACAGCTTACATGTCATCGCAGAAAGTCTATTTGCAACATTTGTCTTACATCATAGGGCCACAAACGTCAGTACTGTCAAATGTAGATGTATAGTGCTTAACAATAGTAATTGGTAGCAGGAGGCAAGAACCCAGTGAGTGTTAGATCATGTCTGACCGTGCATAGGACCTTCTGCAGAGTAAACTGTCTATTACTATTATCCATATAGAATGGAATTGACATATCATTCATTTTCTTCACTTTAATGAATGAGAATTAGGTTTTGTGCTTGTAATTATCTCAACTTCGAGAAGACAGGAGAGTTAGAGATTATAATGAGTCTGAGGAACAGAAACTCTTGAGAAACTCATTGAAGCGATACAATCCTGGCTGTACTTACACCGACTTTCTGAAATAACAACGCCTGTTGTGCATGTGTTTTTAAGAATGTTACCCCCCCTAAATAGTGTTGCTTAATCACTAATAAATCTAAAATTAAAACTTCCTCTTGCTCTGTCTGTGGAAATCAATGTGCTTCTCTTTCTGCCATAATGAAATCAATATTCTACTAAAACAATAAACATGTTGGTGTTTCCACAGAAATAATCTAAAACTAATAAAATTAACTCTCACCATTTCCAGAAACAACGTGATTTTAACTGATTTGACCCTCCTTTTTTGTCTTTCAGAATGTAAAATAGACAATTGTGAAGCGTGTTTCAACCGCCATTTTTGCACAAAATGTAAGGAGGGCTTGTATTCACACAGCGGCCGATGTTCTGTCAGCTGCCCTGCAGGCTTAAGACCGGTCAATGAGACCATGGAGTGTGTGGGTGAGTGACCTTTGACCTTTAAACACCACTAAATCTGTAAAATATACTTCCAACATTGCCTACTGTAGATAGTGTTATATTTGCTGCTGTTTCACAACTTGATTCCTCTTCCCGTGTTTATGAATACACAGCATCACGGTTAAAACATTTGATTTTCTTTTAATGAACCAGAAAGCCTTTTTGAGTGTCTCTCACCTAATGAAACGGTTCATAGGTGTGAGCCACATGTTGACTCAATCTTTAGTATCACTTCATCTGAGCAGCTAATCATGTTCAAATCACTGGCCTGGAAAAGTGGAAGTGAACTAGACACAAGATCTCTTTATTTTTCCTTTCTGCTCTTTTTCTTTTTTGTTGTTGTTGTTGAAACATTTCTGTCCAAAGGATTATTAACACTACCAGCTGTTGGTGTTGTTCTAACTTAAACCTGCTGGTCCACAGAGACTAGAAATGTTACCGTACAAACCTTCCTTTGTTAAGAGCGCATTATTGGTACATTTTCAGGTTCACAGCAACCCTCTCATTCGCCCCACCGATTGCTTTCAGATTTGGACATTACTTAAAGTCATTATTCTGAGTTAAAGCTGCTGAGCTGTTAAACCCAGACATGTCTGGGAAATAAATGTGAGATGTTGGAGCTGTGTAACAACCAGTAACGTCTTTGGTCTCACTTTTTTTTAAGCAGATCAGCGTCCTGCAGAATGCGAACTTGGCGAGTGGAGCCCATGGAGTTCCTGTATGAAGAAGAACAAAACATGTGGATTTAAGAAAGGCTCGCAGTCTCGGGTTCGTTTGCCCCTTCTGCAGACCCACAGCCCGGACACCTCCCCGGCCTCTGTACCCTCGCAGACCTGTGCTCCACAGACGGAGAAAATGAAGTGCATTGTGACCAAGACGCCCTGTGTGAGAGGTAAATACACATTTAGTGCAGAAACCAGATATATTGGGGATCGAAGGATATTTTGTAAGGACTTCTCCTTACAGGTCACCTATTATAAAAAATCCACTTTTTCATGTCTTTTATACATCAACATGTGTCCCCTCTGTGTAAAGAGATTCTGAAAATTTCAGGGAAAAAGATTCGCTCACTTTTTGTCCTGATCTAAATATGTATATAAAAACCTGTCTGAAAATGCGCTGATCAGATTTTGGCCACTTTATGATGTCATAACGATTTTTTGGCTTGTGTAACCATCAGCCAATCACCAACCAAAGGTACCCCCCCCACCTTATCACCTGAATCTCCTCCTAGAGCACCATTGTGTTCCTTTTAACCAAATATCTCTCAGAGGGGCGTGGGGAGTGGCTCCTTATTTTCATCTAAAGTAACAGACAGAGAATCAGCACTTTTGAAACAGAGAGGATTATGGGATGCTACAATGATCTGTTTGGTATTTCGAGGCCAAACACTTCAGAGAAATGTTTGTTTATATCTGAGACCTATAAAATATTGATGAAAAACAGTATAATAGGGGACCTTTAAAGAATATACTGTTGACTCGTGTAATGGTCGGTGGTGGTCGAGGAAGGGAAACCCTGTGATGGTGTTCCTAGTATACCCTTTATGAGTCCTAGCACAACCAACCCTGAGAATACGGGATACATCCCTTGAAAGTCTGTCTCCTCATCCAAAGAACCTTTCGTTCCGGAGGTTGTACAATGAGCGATATAGGTCCGTATAGGAGACCAATGTCAACTTGTAAAGTCAAGTTTACGGTTTTGACAAGTGCAAGGACGCCGTCTTATAACGATGTGTTACCATAAGTCCGGACTTGTAAGACCATTCGTACCGGTACCGGTGATAGGTTTTCCGAATTACACGAGTAGATTGGAAAGAGGTCAAGGAACATTTACTCACTTTGCAAGGTCGAAACCCAATTTAACCTTGTAAGACTGTTTCCTCTAACATATTCCATGAAATTCCCTTGTATGTACAGATTACTAGAATTAAAGGTTTCTTTTCCGACAAGGACAAATTGGGAGGATAACAGCGAAGGGGGGGGGGGGGGAATGAAACCACAAGCGTCAGTTTAAACCTGCCCAGGACAAAATCTAATGTAGATTTGTAGTTTTACTGTAATTAGGTTAGGTGGTGTAAATTAAAATTCGGTGGGAAAGTTTGAGCCATAGTATAACATTGTTGACTGACCATATGTACTTTTTGAACGTCTTCATATGTTGTCTTGTATCTGTGATTGTTACATAAACGCACACGGTCCCACACCCTGGTACACCCCCCTACCCGTGGTGATTCTCCGCCCCCCCCCACCCCTCTTGTAGATTCTCATACACAACAAGAAACCGACAAAACAACTAGACTGGGGTCTACCAAATGATTAAGGAAAAAAAAAACCCGCCATAAAAAGGCCTTGTGTGCCCAACAATGTTTACATGATTTAGTAGGTTTTAAGTTACTTCTCACCACTTAAGTCCGTTAAAGGTATTACAAGTTTTAGATGACACTACTCCTATAGGGTGGTTTCGATGAAATTCGTTAGCCTTATATTTCTGGATTTATTTCAATACTAACTACTTTTACATCATTTAGCCAGTCTTAAACTTGGGCTTCTGTTGTCCTCCCAATTCTCTTGTTTGTTTGTTTGTTGAGGAAGCATAAAACAATTCAAAGCATTAGGGTTGTGTTGAGTCATTAGTAGACAAAGTAAGTGATTCACCTGTGTAAACAACCTTTCCGTTTATTTTGTACCTCTCACATTAACCAACAAAGGTAAAAAATAGCTAGACAGTAAATAATTCGACGCCCTAACTCTCAGGGTTTAAAACGGCGCGCTGATTATTCGACAACCCTTATATTGTTAGGTACCCTGACATTGGACTTGCCTCTTCGTTCCAACGACACACCTACTAATTCCGTGGTTCCCGTTTTGTACACGTACCGGCACATTGTGGAGGCTGCGACGCTACCAGAAGTCTTGGTTTACCGAGAAAAATGAGACTAGGAAAAGGGAGTCGAAGCATGCTCGCAATTAAGGCGCCGGAAAAAGGGTAGACGACCGAGCATATACCAACCAAATAACAAATGGTACGACTCTTTCCGGTTTCTCTAAACATAGGAAAGACTCAGAGTCGGTTTTGGTTTGGGTTAGTTGGTACAACGGGTCCAGTGTCAGTGCGACCGCCCTTACCGTCGGAAACCTACAACTCATTAACCAATTAGCGTATAGTGATGACCACCTGCCGACAAAAGGACTACGTGTACTGCAATAATTACCATTTTACTAGATGAGTGATCAA